AATTAAAATACGTATAACGGGTGAAATAAGTCAAAAAGCTATTTCTTTATATTGATAACTTGAAATATAAATAACGTTATATTATTAATTATCAAAATTTTAATAAGAAATATAAACTTTTAATCACAAATGAAAATAAATTGTTTAAATTGAAATTTAAAATTTCTTACATGAAGTAAGAAAATTGAAATGACAAACGCTATAAATAAATATTACGTAACCTAATATTGGATTAATTGTTCTATAATTATTTCTTAAGTTATTTATTAAAAGTCAATAAAAAATTTGATAAAACGATGCAAAATAATTCTGAAATAGAGAGACCACCTAAACCAATTTGGGGAACTGAAATTACAATGCCTTCAGAATTAAATGAATTAAATGAATATGATTTTTCTATTGTAGAAAGTCAAGACGTGTCTGGTATATTATCATGTTATAAAAATAAGTCACATTTTTTGACACAATTTCAATTAAAGAATATATATCACAGATCCCACAACAAGTCTTCTGACTCCAACAGAAGAATATCTTCATATGACCAAACGTCTCATTGAAAAAGGTACATTATCACCTCGTACTTCTATGATACTTAAAGAACTTTACACAATATATGAATTGAATGATGGATATGGTTTAGCAACTTTTGATTCGAAATACATGTACGTTAAACCAGATAAACCAGATATTCGAAAAGATTCTGTAGAAATTATTAAACCTCCAATAAAAAAAAAAAAACGAAAAGAAAGAGTTAAAGAAGAAGAATATGTATCAAGAGAATCATCAGTATCTCGAAGAAGCACAATAATAACTCTGGAAGAAGAACCTTTGTTCGGTTTACATGTTGTCAAAGATACCACATTTGAACGGCCTTGTGATCCAGAGGCGATTAAAATCAACAATATTTTTTCTGATTTTTCTTTGATCGATACAGGTCACGATAAATGTATAAAAAGGCGCATCACTCAGTGGATAAAAGAAAATTTCAATAAGAAGGAAGAACAAGGACCTAGTGAACAAAAGAAAAGTTTATGGAAAATCGTGAGATTAAATGAAGAACATTATTTTATAGAAATACTTGATGATTCTCATTTTTGCTTTTTATTTTTAGATATTAAGAAGAAAATGATAAAATAACTTGAAATAGCAAATCATCTAGAAAATCACTTTTTTTTGCGATTTTTATTAAATTAATTTAACATCGATCATGCGCGTGATCTGGATTAAAATTTGAAAAAATTGAAAAATTGAAAAATTGCGTCATGACGTCTTACTATATAAGATTAGTAGTGTTATACTTATTTCTCTATGCAAATTTTATCCGCCTTCAGGATCATGTTGGAATAATCGATTTTATCTAACATTAAATATAATAAAATCACTGACACATGAGCAAAAATTATCAGTAGAAACATGTATTACTTTATATGTCAGTGCCACAATTTGGAGAAAGTGCGTCCTTGACAGGTTCCACAATATCATGACCCGGCATTGGTATATGTATCACATTACATAAACGAAAGGAAGGCCAGGATATAAGGGAAAAAAAATTTAATCGTCTTATGTGACGTTGCAGCATTTTTTTATGCAATACAAATTAAAGTGAGTAACCTGAAAAAAGATCATTCACATATGATGGAACAGTTTTTTTATTTAATTCATCGAAATTTATTATGTGAACATATAATTAGCGATATAACTCAATTTTTCTAGATTGTTAATGAAGTTTAAATAAAGTAATACATAAGGTATTAAATATAATCTTCATAAATCCTTTTCTGGAATGTTTTATTTGTAAGAATAATGTATGTTAATTGCACCTTTGTAAAATTACAAAATACTATTAAATTTAATATATTTAATATATTAATATATATTTGCATAATTAAAAACTTCATCAAATAAATATATGTTATAATAAATTTTATAAAAATTTGATTTTATTATATAATAAAAATATTTGTATCTGATAGGGAGATATTTTCTTAAGATTATTAAAATATAAATTAGATTATTTAAAATTGCAAATACTTACTAATTCGAAGATTCTAATTATATCAGAACCACGCCCAATGTTTATGTATTTGTTCGTGTCCCCTCTTAACCTGGCTATCCTATACTTTCTATCCTTCAATCTTAATTCCTTACGAAAAAAGTATAGCGATACAGTTTCCCCACTCTTTATCGACTATATCCAATCCCATTGGAAACAGTGGCACCCAAAATTCGATTGATCCCCCTGCAACCTTAGCTGCATATAAATACTGGGCCAAGTTTGAAACTTCGTCAGAGCACGATTTCTTCACGTAAAAGTAAAATGGTATTCAAGGTAAGCTTCTTCCGTGTACACCCTTCAAATTATAATAAAACTTACAGAGAGATTTTATATATTTTATATATTGTAACGAAATATAATATTTCATAGGAAAAGATTTTGTTTTAATTTTAGATTTTAATTAATTTGATCTTTTTCTATGATTTTTAAAATAAAACTTCCAAAAATAATCTTCAACTTGTTAAAAACTTGTTAGTTCTTTGTTAGTTCTTGAAAGATTCTTGCTGTTATTCATCAAATATAACATAGTCAAATAGTATAACTTCAATTAAAAACAAAAAAACAATTATTTTTTTCAGTTTGTAGTATTCGCAGCCTTCTTGGCAATAGTCAACGCAGGTGGCCCAGCTTCTTACGACATCGCAGCATCATCAGGAGATCATAGCAGCATTGGTTTCAGCCAGGAGTCTACGCAAAAAGGATTCGCTGGCCAGAATGTGATCTCCTCTTATACAAAATCTGACGATTCCGCTCATTCCTTTGTTCGTGTTAGCAGTCAGAGTATCAGCAACGATGCTCTTTTGAACTACGATATTGCCCATGCTCCTCTCGTAAAGGCTGCCTATTCTACTCCAGCCTATCTCGCCCCAACCGCTGCTCCTCTTATTGCCAAGACTTATGCTGCACCGTATAGTTACAGTGCTCCTTTGTTGACCAAGACCTACACCGCCTCTGCTCCTTTGATTACCAAGACTGCTGTAGCTGCACCAGCTCCTCTTTTGCACGCTGCACCAGCTTCTCTTCTGACCAGATATACCGCTCCAATCGGTACTGTAGCTCCAGCTCCTCTTTTGCATGCTACATCAGCTGAACCTTTGTTACACGCCGCTCCAGCTTCCTTCTTGCACGCTGCACCGGCTGCTCCTCTTCTTGCCAAGAGCTACGGATACGCTGCCCAGGCTCCAATCATCGCTAAAAGTGCTCTGATCGCCCCAGCCGCCGGATATGCTGCCTCCATTACACCAGCTGCTCCTCTTTTGGCCAAGACTTACGCTGCTGCTCCTCATCAAGCTCAACTGATCACCAAGGCTTACGGATACGAAGCTGCCGCCCCCGTTGTACACACCGTTTTCAATGGTTTCGGTACCAGCTATGCCTGGTAAATTTTTAATTCCATGTGATAACCCTTTTGATTTCCTTTGAAAGAAGGTTAGATCTTGGTCTTCTCAAGTCTTGGGAATATTAGATCTCTCGAACAAAATTTCGAAGGCTCGATGATTCTAAAAAAAAATATTATCTCTTAGATAAAGTTCTATTGAGATATAATTAAAACGATGAATTTTATTTGAAGGAATTTTATTTTTTAAAAATAATATTCATTAGAAACGAAAGGGTTAATATGACGAACTGATCCAGATTTGTAGATAAATATTTTGATTATTTTACGTTATTAGAATTATCAAATTTCATTGTACACGTATAAATAATACAAATAGATGTAGATATACGTGTATTGTGTATAAATAAATATAGGTGATATTATTTTATTTATATTACAAACACCGATTACCTTTTTTAGTCGCATTACGAAATAGATTTTCAAATCTAAGGAATTTACTTTTTGTATACCTAAATGATTGACAAATAAATTTTAATTTTTTTTTATTCAATGATATTTATCTTATTTTGTTTGTTTTTCCTAAAAAAATATTTATATAATGATATATTAATAATATAACTTAACATTATTACAATTTATTTACAAATAATATTAAAAGTACTTTTATTTTCCAATATTCCAATTAAAATAATAAATTTATTACATCAGTTTAAATTTATATTACAAACAAAAATACTTTAATTTAATGTAATATTTCGATTTATTCAAACAATAAATAATAATTTATTATATTCTTTAAAAAATTTAAAATCACATAAATAAATAATAAAATTTTTCTTTTTTTCATCATGCGAGGAACGATTAAATTATTTGATAATAAATTGTAATTACTTATTTAATGGCTATTTTGAGATAGTATATTTCAATAGAAAGTAATAACAAAATACTATAAAAAAAGACATGCTTGAAATTATGCTTTTTATGAAAAAATTTCCTATCAAAATTGTAAAATAACTTCATTTTAAAGTTAATATAATGTATAATAAACAATCGAATCCAATTATCGATTCCGTTATGTTTATTTTTAAAAATTCGAAATATTCTTTCAACTTTCAATATAATATATATTTAATTAAATATTAATATTAAAATTATACATAATTTATCATTTATATCAATTCATAAATATAAATTTTATGATTACTTAAATAACTATTAATAAATATATTAATTATATGATATGATTTTTATAATATGGTTAAAATGTATTGTATATTAAATAATGTATATTAAATAAGGTTGTAGTATGTATTAGTAGTTATGAATTGATAAATTCGAAATTATTTAGAAGTGAATTAAAGTATAATAAATTGAAATATAATATCTATTAATTTGAGAAATAAGATTAATGATTTATACATTACTTCCTATTATTTCATGTATTCTCTATTCTACGTACAAAATATGTTAATTTCAACAGAAAATTTTTTCCTAGGATTACGTTTCTCTTAAACTTAAATTAAAAATAATTTGAAGTTCGTAAATATATCAATCATGCCATTATATTCTATTTTTTACACTAGAAATTTAACTAGGGACAATTTTTAAGTGTATAACATGCAAGATATATGTTCACATTATTAAATAGCATAAGTAAGTTTGAATGAACAATTGTTTCGTTAATTTGAAGCACGTGTTAGTTTGAAATTATAAAAATGACAAAAATTAGAAAGGTGAAACGTAGAAAGAAATATCGTATGAATGTAAATCGTAAGCGATTACGAAATAAATTATACAAATTACCTACAATAACATGGTAAGTATAACCAAGTCATCGTATTATTTTAATTAATGTATATAATGTATTTAATTATGTATAAACATTAAAATGAAGTTTATTATTTATAGTGCTCAAATAAAACAATCGTGGGATATAACTAAATCCACACGAACTAATTTAAATCAAATGGGTTTAGCATATGATCCTAATGAAACTTTAAAGATACCCAATACAAAAAAAGAGCTTATTGACAAAGTTTCAAAATGGAAAGTCGAGGAAAATGATGAAAATAAATTGCAGACTGAAGAAGATATTGAAATGACATCAGTAAAAATACATGTAGCACAAGAACTTGAAACAGAAGCAAAAGCACCAAGAAAAAGGATGTTTAGGTTACCAAATAGTCAAGTTCATTTTCTTACCTATTTGATGGATAAGTATGGAGAAAATTATAAGGTAATATTTTAATTATAGTAATTTATTTGATAAATATTTTTCTTGTTATGAATTATTATATTATATTATAAATTATTTCTAAATGAATCATATATAGGCTATGGCATTAGATAGAAAGAATTATAATCAATTAACTTGGAAACAAATACGTGCTAAAATTAAGATATTCAAAGGTATCCCTGAGCAATACAATGAGTATCTTCAGAATAAAAATACATAACATAATTCATAATATAATTCATTAATTTCTTAGTATATTTAACACAAATATATTTCAATTTTCATACAAATTGGTATATAAAGTATCAAAGTATAAAATTAATAAATTAATTAATATTCTTATTTAGGTAAGTACAAAAACAATAGACAAGAAAAATTAATACTTATTACAACATTTATATAAATATGTGTAATACTATTCACTGTAAATGAATAAAATAGATTTATGTTTCTAAATGCAATCTCTAAATCTTTATTTTATGTATCAATTACAAAAACTAATGTAGTTTGATTTATGCATAATTCACATAAAAAAAAATGAAAGACTTTTACTGTGATTTGATAAAGTAAATAAATAATTTATTAAATAAATATATGTGTATGTGCTGAAAAGAGACTTCATAAAAAATTAAATGATTGCAAATATATTATACTGAAAAAACCTTAAAAATTGTATATTTTTATTTATATTTCTTTTTTTAAAGCTTGAATTATTTGTTTTAAAAAGGTTCATTTTGTGCACAAACTGTAATCACTTTAATCCATTGAAAAATTGTATACAATATGCTAAATTAGGCATATTGTCATTTTCTTATTTACTTCTTATTCTTCTATTCCTTTCTTTCTTTTATAAAGTATTTAACAAAAAAGAGGAGCAGATACACTATCTTTTGCCATATAAAACATTTTTTTTCTAACAGAATCAACGGATGCATGATACCAAGTATATTCAGTTGTTTCTGGAATTTCAGGAAAAGGTCTTGTTTGGCATCCAATTATTTCTACTTTATGCTTATGAGGTGAAATACTTAATAAATCTAGAGCTTTCTTAACTTCTTCTGGCTTTAGAGCACTGGGACAATCCTAATTTTATACATTAATATACATTAGAGAACTTTTAATGAATCCTTAAATAAATATTATTAAAAATATTTACCTGTTTATTAGCAACTACTAAAATTGGTACATCATCCATTCTTGCATCACTTAATAACTGTTTCAAAATAGAAGCAGCGGAAGATAATTTGTTTATGTCAGATGCATCTACTACAAATAGTAACAAATCTGTATCTTGCAAGAAAGCAGTCCAATATTTTCTAGTGGCATCTGAACCTCCAACTAATATAAAATAATATTAAATAATAAAATAATATTCAACAATTATATTATAAATAATCTTTGATAAAATAAAAAATAAAATAAAATTTACATACTATCCCAAACATTATAAAATAGAACCCCATTTTTTATTCTATATACAGAAGAACCTTCTGTGGGTTTTGGAGGGACAATATATGAAGTTTCATCACCGTTTGCCACACATATTTGGTTTATAATCGACGTTTTTCCAGCTCCGGATAAACCTAATAGAAGTACTCGTTTTTCATGACTATCATCAATCTATAAAAATAAAGCAATGAGAATTGTTATTGAGATTTCTTTCAACAAATAAATATAAACAATAAAATTGACATCACTAAATCAAATCTAAGAACGATCAAAAATGGTTTCAAATCAGAACTCTAACCTTAGACACTTCTTCAAAACCTTCGTCTATTGCCAAAAGTTCTCGTTTTTTCCAATATCGATATGCAATGTATGTACCAATGCATGTACATCCGATCCAAAAGATCTTTTGACCGTTTTGAAATACATTTCGTATCATTATTCGTGAATATTGTTATTTAATGAAAGACTGAAAAGTAGTGCCGACTTTCTCGGCTTAAATTTCGCGTGTTGGCACGTTATCTTATGAATTGTCACTTCACCGCATGACATCTACCTCTCATCGTTTAAATGAGTTGAGCGATAATTATAAGACTTATGAAACGCATTTATAAGATTATTTGCATTTGTGTGAATTTCTAACGGTACAAAATAAATCCTTTTTCAAAAGCGCCAACTCTCTCCGTTTGTCAACTTGATACTACCATAGATGATGTATAGAATAGATTAACATTTTATGAGATTTTTGCGTTTCATATTTTGAAATACCGATTGCGCAAAAAATCAAAGTTTTATATGAAATGGTAAATGAATAATGACATGACGCATACATATATTAAAAGAATGTAAAGTATTAATAAAATTATTCCAACAAGTTTCACATCGTTGTTAAATTTTTATTAGAATATGATTATCCATTATAATATATATATATATATATAATATAGATAATTTCGTTTAAATTTTTGAATGGGTTAGGCAAAAAAAAAAAAAAAAAAATAAAATATAAAAAGTTATTATTATAAAAAGGGGGAAAAAAAAAGAAAAAAAAATATAAGCAAAAAAAAAAAAAAAAAAAAAAATATAAATTAAATATTAAAAGTTATTATTATATGAATGCGGAAAAAGTAAGAAGAATAAATATTAGCAGAAATATAAAGATAAAAATAGAACATTAGTGCTATTTTTTGAATGTTTTTAAAAATAAATTTTTGGCATTCAATGATAAAAAGTTTCTAGTGTTCTCGAAATATAGAAGAAAAAAATGTATTAAATGTTAGATCTATATTGTGTTTCGTCTATGGTACTATTGATAAGAAGAGTTGAGAACAGAATCAATTTTCTTGTGATAATTTTTGAATATTTTATACATATATAAATACAATAATTACATATATTAAAAAATATAATTATAAAAAATACTATTATTGACAATTTACATTAATTGCTCGTAAAATAAATAATATATAAATTTAACTTTGTTCTATTATATTCGACCGTAATCTATTCAATCAATTGAACACACGTTTTTGACAGTTCTTTTCAGTTAGTGGGTAGTTTATTTAACTTTTACATAGAATAAAAAGTAAAAATAAAAATAAAATTATTGATATTTCGATACAATATTATTAAGTCTCGTTTCTGAAAGTGTATGTAAATTTCTATTTCAAAATTGAATAAAGAATGAAGAATGGTTAAGTCAATAATATATAGGTTAAACATGAATCTTTTAAAGTGATTATATTATTAAAAGTAATAAAAAAAATGGATAACGTTTCGACTGCAGAGTGTTTAACTCTTGATTTTGGTCCCTTTGAAACTGTTCATCGTTGGCAACGTATGCCAGAATGCGACGAATTCGTTGGTGCTAGGTAATAAATTAAATTAATTTAATCTTAATTACGAATTATTATTTTCAATTTTTGTAAATTATTTTGGACGTTCCTTAATCTTTTACAATGTTCAAACAATAATTTTGTTACAGCATTTCAATTCCATTAACTGTGCATCAGTGTTTCAATTAAATCCAGCATTTTTGAATCTATTTATTTACTTTCTAACTTTGTTTTAAAGATATTTGTAATTGCTAATTGTAAATAAATAATAATAAGTAATTTATAGAGTTTTTAATTATTACCAATATAATTCTTATTTAAGTTAAGTTATAATAGAAATTATAACTATGATTGATTAAATTTATTCTTTTTTTATTGCATTTTATTTCCTTAAATTATATGTCATGTTAGAAAGAATAATGTAAATACATTATTTCAAAAGTTCACTATATTGTATTATACACAGGCGTAGCAAACATACTGTTGTAGCCTATAAAGATGCAATCTATGTGTTTGGTGGTGATAATGGTAAAAGAATGTTAAATGATTTGTTGAGATTTGATGTGAAAGAAAAATCTTGGGGACGTGCATTTGCAACAGGAGCACCTCCTGCCCCAAGATATCATCATTCTGCAGTTGTGCATGATTCTTCTATGTTTGTATTTGGTGGTTATACTGGTGATATACATTCCAATTCAAATCTCACCAATAAAAATGATTTATTTGAGTACCGATTCCAAACTGGTCAATGGACAGAATGGAAATTTATTGGGAAGTATGTCTTATTTATCTCATTTAACTTATTTTTGTTTTTTATTATCACTTCAAATTATTAATTGTATAGTTATAAAACTATATTCCTTTATAGAACACCCGTAGCTAGATCTGCACATGGAGCTGCTGTGTATGATAATAAATTATGGATATTTGCTGGCTATGATGGCAATGCAAGATTGAATGATATGTGGACTATATCATTATTAGTAAGTTAATATATTATATTTAATATAAATGGTAAATTATTATTTTGTCATCATTTTTAGCCTGGAGAATTAAGAGTATGGGAAGAAGTTGATCAATCTGGTGATTGTCCACCAACATGTTGCAATTTTCCTGTTGCTGTAGCACGTGAATCTATGTTTGTATTCAGTGGCCAAAGTGGAGCTAAAATTACAAATAGTCTCTTTCAATTTCACTTTCGAGAAAAACGGTAAGTTTATAATTTCATATCTTAAAATTATATTGTATTCAATGAAATATGAATTATCAGATGGACGCGAATTTCAACGGAACATATACTTCGTGGTGCACCACCTCCGCCAGCACGACGATATGGTCATACTATGGTTAGCTTTGATAGATATCTTTATGTATTTGGTGGAGCAGCTGATTCTACGCTACCAAATGATCTTCATTGCTATGATCTTGATACACAAACGTGGAATATTATTTTGCCATCTGCTGATAGTCAGGTTCCATCTGGTCGTCTGTTTCATGCGGCAGCAGTAATTGGAGAAGCGATGTTTATTTTTGGTGGAACAGTTGACAATAATGTACGATCTGGAGAGACATATCGATTTCAATTTTCGTCATATCCAAAATGTACTTTGCATGACGATTTTGGAAGATTGTTAAGCGGACGTCTTTTCTGTGATGTAGAATTTATAGTAGGAGATACAGAAACAAAAATACCTGCTCACATAGCTATGGTAGCAGCTCGTTCGCAATTTCTTAGGACTCGTATTAGACACGCTCGAGAAAAACGAGATAAACATATGGAAGAAGTATTTGGAACTGTCGATATACCGATTAAAGATATGCCATTGTTAGAGGTAAATATATTTATTTGATACCCAATATTGGGTATCAATACTTTGATATATTGTTACTATATCATAGGTAAGACTGAAAGATGCTGTGCCAGAAGCATTTGAAATGGTCCTAAACTATATTTACACTGATCGTATTGATCCAACGAAAAGAAACGAAGACGGATCGAGCAGTCGTGTTGCTGAAGATCCATTAAGCAATCGAATTGTACTTCTTATGATGGATGTCTATCGTTTAGCTTTACAGTTTAATATGAAAAGATTAGAACAGTTGTGTGTCCAGTATCTAAAAGCAACTATAAGTCGTGCTAATGTTTTGGAAGCATTGCGTAATGCTGCTCATTTAAAACTTTATTTCATAAAAGAGTTTTGTTTGAGTTTTATCGTGAAAGAAAATAATTATAATCAAATTGTAATGAGTAAAGAATTTGAGACTTTAGATCAACCTTTAATGGTGGAAATTATTAGGAAAAGACAAATGCCTCAAAAAGGTGCATTTCCTAGACAATTTGATCTTAATGCAGGTACGATCTTTCAAAATTGTTTGTAAAATAATAATTTTACTTGTAGTTTTATTGAAAAATTTTTTCAATGTTTTGTTTTGTTTTAGGAACAACTTTGGAACAGGATATGGAAGCTTTTCTTAAAAGTGTTGGCAGAGAATTTTGTGATATAACGCTCATGTTAGATGGTGTGCCAATTCCAGCTCATAAAGCTATTCTTGCGGCACGATGTAGCTATTTCGAGGGAATGTTCCGTTCTTTTATGCCAGAAAATAATACTGTGAATGTAAGTTATTGATTTTTTACGTTTTTATTACGTATTTGACAATTAAATCGTAACAAAATGTGTGCTTCTATTACAGATACAAATCGGTGAAATGATCCCATCTTCTGAATCATTCGATTCTTTATTAAGATACATTTATTATGCAGATGTTTCGATGCCACCCGAAGATTCTTTATATTTATTTACCGCACCAGTTTTTTATGGTTTTACAAATAATCGATTGCAAGCATTTTGCAAACAAAATCTTGAAATGAATGTTACTTTTGAAAATGTTATACAAATTTTGGAAGCTGCGGATAGAATGCAAGCTGTTGATATGAAAAAATATGCATTAAATCTTATCGTGCATCACTTTACAAAGGTTCATATATTTCATTAATTTCTTTTTTTATTTCACGAAATAAACAATTTTTTTCTTATCATAAATATTATTTTATTTCATCATAGGTTGCAAGGTTACCGAAGTTAAAGCAATTAAGTCGCGAACTTTTACTGGATATTCTGGAAGCATTGGCCGATGAACGTAGTGAAGCTCGAACATGTCAAGACATGGCGAATGATTGCTGACGGATCTCGGGCTCACATCGTCGTCCCCGTAGTTGGGATTTGCCTTCGCCTTCGAGCTTTCAAGTAAGTGTGCAATACAGTATTCTAACAACATTCAACATCTTTTATCTTTTGGGTTATGGGTATATAGTAGATGAGTGTCTGAAAAACCTAAAATATCGTGCGCGTATGTAAATAGGTAAATAAAATATGAAAGCTGAATATAAAATTAAAGATTGTGAATATCTTTAGAATATTTAATTTATTTGTACATAAAATATGATTTATTGAAAATCTCTTGTAAAAAAGAATAAATAAAAAATATTTATTGGATCGCTTAATATTACTCGTGTAATATTTGCCTTGTTCGAATACAAAATAAAAAAAAAAAAATTAGTAAAAAAAAAAAAGCTAAAAAAAAAAAATTATATTTTAATTTCCAATTGTTGGCATTATCATCCATTAAAAAGATTTTGATATTAGGTTTAAAAATAAGTGGTATTCAATTGGGTATTAAACGAGACACGTAATTAATAAATTATGTACTATATTTTGATCTTGATTATGAATGATCGTACATACACGCACAATCGATAATTTTTTTTTTTTTTATGATAATTTTAACACTTGAAGCTTAATACAAGCGCAAATTTTGGAAGGGGGGGGGGGGGGGGGGGGGGATTGAAAGAAACCTTACGCAAAGGAGCTCGTATAAAATCATTGCTCTTCTTTTCTCTTTACATATTGTTGTCTCTAGTTAGGTGACGTTCGTCGACATCCCGACAATCGTTAGTTCAGTCTCTTGAACAAAATATCGTGAAATTTAATTTGTACCTAAAGAAAATTTATCTTTCACTCTCTTTTCACGCTTTTCGCAACTTTCCACATTTAGTAATCGTGTGTTTATCAAAGCTTATACGAGGGATTTTTCATTTTCTTTTAGTTTTTTTTTTTTTTCTTCTACATGAAATGTAATACTTTTCTACGTGTGTGTGTTCTCATTTCTAAATGTCCGTACCTGCTTTTATATCGTTAAATCACGAAACTCGAACTCGTTTATTTTAAAATTGTTGCTCTAAAGGCGTCTTATTCCAACTATTATAATCATCTAAACTTAAATCACGATAAATAGTCGTAATATTAATTACACTAGGTAGGCCTTTTTCTTTTTTCTGTTCGTCGCTTAGGATTCTGAATGAATTAGAGTAATATTGAAATTGTGATCGTCACAACCCGACGAATTAATTACAAAATGAGATCTAAAAGTTACACCGCTAGAATCAAATTACAATGATACGATCGTAATAACAAACTTCACGTTGATTTCGAATGGCCCCAATCTGAAACAGATTCTTGTACAATAATAGAATCATACGATCTGCTTTACATTTGTTTTTTTTTTTTCTTTTTCTTTTCAAAACTTACCAGATAAAATAAAATTTTTACTCACCGATTGTAAAATTGCTCGATTCATATTGTAGGCATAAGGAGTACGTAAACGTTTTTTTTTAATTCAATTTGAATCCCTTCTCAATCGTTTCAATCATTTTTCTGCTCCTGCATGAAAGTGTGTGCAGCACTTGCATACAGACAACAGAAAGCAACATTTTATTTCTAAACATGACGTATCATCCAACGTACTCCCTCATCAAATGATAAGATGGTCCATAGCAATCTATCTTCTTAGTAAGTTACTCTTGTATCCCAATTCTAGTCATTTCTAAAAAAAAAAAATAGATGCATCTTCAAACTCTCTATTTTATATATATACATTCAAAATATCCATATATAGAAAACACAAGGTGTTTTATGATGTTCTCTTTAAATTAAAAATTTGGACATTTCTTTGCTCTATGTAAGATTAAAGAAAAAAAGGAAAATGCACGATTGGTTGATGAACATCATATTAATTTTTAACAAACTATATTTTATTATTAACGAGGCTAGTATGTCTTGTCTGAATGTTCAAGAAATATATAGCATGTTTTAAAAAAAATATTATCATTAAGAACAATTTTATTTAACCTTTTCTTTGATGCTTATTTGAATAATCTTTCATAAGACACCTTGTAAAGGAATAATATCGAGCAGATTAATTTTCAAATTTTTATATCATTAAATCATAATTTTAAATAAAACCTTTTCCTCCGCGATGCTGCTGGTCGATGGCATTCTGTGCGAAGGTTCCAGCCTTCTTCGCCTCTCTTCAATGGCTTCCGCGTCTAGATTCATCGTAGGCTGAACCGTTTGTGTCACAGACGTGCTTATGTGTCTCGTTTTAACGAGAGGTGGATTTCGTGATTGAGGAATCGCGAACGCTCTTCTAAGCGCCCCTCTCGGGGGTGACGGTGGTGGATAGGAGATACCTAATGGTATTTTTTCGATTAGCACCCTAACGTAATTAGATTATTTCGATCGTTTTCTTTTTTTTTTTTTTTTTTTTGGTGCTAATATCAAGCAGAGGGAATATTTTATCATTACTAATTTTTT